TGCTTCTCTGTACTCCCCCCAAAAATAATCCCTCCCCCCAGGCAGACAGGCTTCCCTTTGCTGTTTCAAATTCATCCTAATGCCTGTTGGCTCAAGGAGAGTATCTACTAAGGGGCACAGTGGAAGGAATATGAAGAGAGGCCAGACAACATTAAGGCAGCCTTGATTTATGTTTCGATGGACCCGCCTTCACTTTGGCATATGTGTGTGAACATGTTATAAAAAGAAACCCTCAGCCTCTTTGTGAAGAGACGCCCTGTCGAGGAAGTAGCGGAACTTAACAGAAAATAAAATTCCACCTCCAACCACCTCCAGAGTGAGTGAGGCCAATGAAACGCCATCATCTCCTCACCCACCTACCTTCAAGCTCAGCCTGGCTTTCCTGTCCACATGGCATGTGCCCACAGAAGCCCTCTCCCTGGGTCAGCTGGCCTGGAAAACTGTGTCCGACAGCTCTCCCCACAGCAGAGCAGCTGAAGGTGTGACACAGGCGCCGGAGAAGAAAGGGGTGCAGAAGGACAGTCTGGAACCCACTGAAACCCATCTCCAAACAGGGAATGTGAGGAGACAGGCAACTGACACCAGAACAGAAGTGGAGGACTCCCTCTAAGCCTTGAAAGAGAAGGGCTGCAATTAGGTGCAGGATTAGGAAGCAGGTAAAGAGGCAGAATGCAAGATTTAAAGCCTCCTTTTACATTATTTCAGAAACCAGACTCAAGGCAACGTTAAAGAGTACTGAATTTTTAAAAACAGGACACGTGTAGTATCGTTACTTCTAGAAGCAATGAAAGACAGGCACAAAAGTGAATGGCAGCATTCTCGAAAGTAAAACTCAACAGCCTCCATCAGTTTGGAGGGTGGGCAAGGGGAAAGGAGTGCGGTGAAAAGCAGCTGTTCCCGGGCTCTGTGGAGCCGCATGGCCCTTTCTTCAAACTCGGTTCACACTCAGTTCGAATTTTCTGAAGTTCGTAGTTCTGAGCCCAGTGTGAACATATATAGATAACAGGAAAATGTTGCATAAAACATTATTACAGCTTTTACTATAAGGTGGTACAGAGTTTATAGTGCCTCATTCTCTCTCTTCCCTACTACATTCTTAGAAAAGTACACAAGTCTACGCAAAACACAACCTCACATAGATGCTTCAGAAATTTGGGAAAGAAATACTGCTAACAAGAGAGTATGTGGAACCACATGGAGTAACTGCTAGCAGCTGATGTCAAATTTTACCTCTGAAACAGAGCAGGTCAAGGGAGAAAAAAGAGAGAGAGCCTTTGATCTTGGCGGAGAGCTGCCCCAACCAGAAAATCAGGTGGCTGCTCCCACACACAGGCTGCTTCCTGAGGCCGTCTGGGTGTCCCTGGCTCATTCACTGCTCTCGGTCTACACCCTCCTGAGATTGTACTTCTATTGTATTACAAAGCGACACTAAAGGAATGGAAGGGAAATCTGCCATCACAGCCCAGGACATGAAGGGGGTGGCAGATTTCAGGTGACATTGGTCATGCATCATTCCTGGCAGCAGCAGAACTCCAGATTGATTAGGATCACCCATGAATATGTGCGCTTTCTGACAGCCATTGAATCAAGACATGGGAGCAGGAGATAGCTCTGAGGTCCAGTATGTAAAAACTCAAATGACACACACAACAGTATGGTGATTACCAGAGGGGAGGGAGGGTGGGGGAGGTAGAAAGGCCCAAAGGAGGGAATAAATGGTGATGGCAGGAGACTCGACTTGGGGTGGTGAACACACAATACAACATGCAGGTGATGTCTTATAGAGCTGTACACCTAAAACCTATACCATTTTAAAACCTAAACCAATGTCACCCCAATAAATTCAATCAATAAATACTCAAATGAGGAAATTTTAAGTTACCTGTATTTACCACAACTTTTAAAAAACTCAAATTAATAAGTTTTATATTATGAGTCTTTTATCACAATGTTTTTAATTCAAATTTTTAAGAAACAGACATTTGTTTAAGAGCTCCATGGTTCAGCCTTTCATGTGGTTTATTGTCCAAGAAGGGAGAATGCTTCCTAGTGGCCACCACCAGGAGCTCTAAAGTGTCCCGTCTGAGAGCACAAGGCCAGAGTGAGGCCTCCTCATTTGGGGAAATCTAAATGAAAAAACAAGCCCCCCCAAATCATAAAACTTATAAAAAGATTCTATAACTTAAGGGGAGAATATTGTTCTTAAGATATGGAGAAAATACTACTTTGGGGGAATACATACTATAAGAAACCGATGTGCTAAGGTGCACGCTGAAAAAACCTGTAAAAATAAAAATGTCATAGATTTACTCTTTTACATAGAGCAAAACGGAGAATTGACTCTACAGAAAAATAATTCAGCAATGTAGTGGGCAAATTTGAGGAACCATTCCGGAGGGCAGAGGTAAAGGGCAAATTAAGAAATTATAACTTCTTTACGTAGCTCAGTAGTCTAGATTAAATTTTGCACCCCTGCTACATAAATAATCAAAACCATAGATGATGAAAGAGATACAAAATAGGTCAAAAGACAGTTTTTAAAAACACAACAGAATGATATAAATTTTAAAATCTTAATAAAATGGACCACATTCAGGAAAAAGTATGAATTACCTATATTAGCTCAAGAAGTATGCCAAACAGAAAAGAAATATGCCAAAAAAGCTGAAAAGTTCATCAAAGAATTGCCTCAAAAAAGGCGGAGGACAGGATAATTTAATTAGTACATTCTTTCAAACTCTCCCCAAGGGGCAACCTCAGAAAGTATAACAAAGAGTACATTTTCTGGACTTGGAAAAAGATGGAATGCTCCCAGTTCATTGGGAAGCTAGTGTACCTACAGTACACAGCCCTGCATAAAAATCAAAGTATAGGCCAACATTTTTCTCAAAAGCTTTGTTATTCCAGGATTTCTTAGTGCCTCTGATCTGTGAAATTCCAAAAGGAGGGTTGTGGGAGGCAATGTTGTTCCAGCCCTTGAAGATTTCTTCCAGGCTTCCCCAGACCCTTCTTATGACCAAGCAGGAGCCACACAGGAGCCCTGAGTCATGCAACCAGATTAAGATGACCCAAGAGCCAAGAATATAGGAAGGGGGAGGGGGAGGACAGGAAGATCAACCAAAAAACTTATATGCATATGTGCATAACCCAAGGACACAGACTACAGTGCGTGAAAGTCTAGGAGGGGGGATCAATGGGCGGGAAACGGGATAACTGTAATACTTTCAACAATAAAGATAATTTTTTTAAAAACTGCTAAAATAGTAAATGGTAACAAAACACATTTACAGACTCATTAATAAGAAGGCAATTAGGTCTTCTGGGAGAATTCATTTCCAAAAGAATGCTAAAGCAAGCTATAAAATGCAAGTAAAATTGTGTTTTGACATGAACAGTGTACACTGTCTCTTACATCATAATTTTTCTCTTGAGAAAACTGACAAGAATCTCTGTTCTTAAATATGAGCACAAAACATAGCAAAAAGAACACCAGTGATAGTGAATGTATTCTAACTCCCATTCAGTATATTTGACTGTCCTATCAATGAGCTCCTTATTACAAACACACTTCAGTTATCCTTAGAAGAAAAAGAGAAATATAATATAAGAAACTGCTGTACTAGTAATGTCAAAGAGAATACTACTTCCTATATCCACATATTAACATATATATCAATGATTAGCACGTATCATGTTTGGTTCCTCAATTAATATGTTTACCTTTAAATATTCTTACCCAACAGGTTTATGACCAAAACTATTTTGCCTTATTTTTATTCTCTTATAAAAACATTTCTTTCAGAAAAAAAGAATATACAGAAGACTACATAGAGGAAAAGAAATTCACAAGAGATAGAGGAAAAGAAAATGAAATATATTGCAATATATAAAATTGCAGTAACAGCAATGCTGAGGCACGAAGTACATTCTGCTGGTGAAATGCAATTTGATTCAAGTCTTCTAGGAAGCAACTGGCCATATGTATTTAGAACCTAAAATACACTTACTCTTTGACCTAACAATCCAACTTCTATCAGTCCATCCTGGAGAATTAATTTAATATTAAGATTTACATACAAGAACGTACTTAATAGAAGTTGCTATTATTAATAGCAAACAAAGCAAAACAAAACAGAAAATGATCTAACTGTCTAAAACTAGAAACAGTTAAAAGGATTCTGGCATATTCATATCATGAATTATGCAACAATCAAAAGCAATGTTTTGAGGAAAAATTTAATGATACGAATATGTCTGTTTAGAGGGAAAAAGGCAGAACACAAACTACAAAGTATAATAGTAAATATATTTTAAAATATATGTATATAGGAAAAACTACTGGAAGAATGTAGACCAACATTGATCTCTGGGTCGTGGGGCTCTGAGTGAATATAATTTTTACATATTTCTCATGTTATCTAACTTTTTGCACCAAGCATCTCTTACTTTTATAATCAGAAAAATGATAAAAACCAAATAATTATTGCACGTGGATAAAATACGCATGGGAGTGAAAGAAAGCAATTTTAAGTCTCCAAGCACTAAGGACAAAAACATTCTCAGCACCATGCACGGAGTTCCCCCCTTCCAAATGTGACTGTCACACCGGAGCACTTTAAAGCATAAAGACAGAAGGCAAACCAACCGAACCCCTCAGTAAAGACAGGCTGAGCAGCTCCTCCCCGGGGTTTTCAACACACCATGATCAAGAGGGGAATTCAGCACCAATTTTTTTAAAGTGCAGCTGTTTTAAGATACCCCTTGGTTCCAAAAGCCGCAGGAACAGGCGCTACAGGGGAGACTGAGGGAGCGAGGAGTTACACGCTTCTGTGTGCACACACATTCTCTCTCTCTCTCCCTCACACACACACACACACACACGCGCACACGCACAAGCGCGCGCGCACATACATATATTCACTCAAACGTGTCATCCCAGCCAGACAACCGGAGTCCTGCGGGGGCGGCCGCACCGGGTCCCCGCCGGGCACCGCGAGTACCTGTTCGTGGCGCGCTGCAGGGTCTCGGGGCTCCGGGGTACCCTCAGCCCGGAGGAGATGCCGTGGGTGGCCTCCCTGCTTTCCTCCACGAAGAGTCTGCAAAGCCAGGAAGAAAACTAAGTTGTTACACCTCGCGGGGAGCAGTTGGCTTGGCGACCCGCGCACCCGCTCGCTGCCTGGCCGGGTCGCCCCTGCGCGCCCCGGCTCCCAGGGCGGCTCCCGAACCCCGGCGTCCAGGAGGCTCAGGGCGGGAAGGAAGGGAAGGGAAGGCGTGCACTGGGACCAAGAGCCCAGGACCCGGGTGCAGAACCCGACGGCAGGTCCCGCCCTGCTGCTCGCTCTCCCGGAGGGACACGCGCTTGGGCCCTCGCAACACAGACCCGTCCCTCTCCACCCCAGCCGGTGCCCACGCGGTCCAAGTGTCACCCTTCTGGTCCCCTACCCCTGACTCACCCAGAGCTGCCTCCTGGACTCCCCTCCTCTCCCTCCCCAGCCTCTGGCCGCCGCCGCCCCTCGGCTCGTCCTAGCAGCCGCTACAAGTCCGCGCGCCCAAGTCAAGCGCGTCGGCTCGTGGGGTCCCAGGAGCGCACAGCAGGGTGCGCGGCGGGGTGCGCGGAACCCGCGGTGGCCAGCGCGCGGCGGGCGGCTTACCTGGGGCGGGCGGGTGCGTCGGTGGAGCGCCACAGCAG